GAATTTGATCGAAATGCAATACGTTATTGGTTACAATTTGCTGATTTTTATCAATGGCCACATATAATTCATTTCAACTCTATTGTTGATCTTGCTATGAAATTAACTAATACGAATCTAGATGAAGTTAGTCAAAACATGAAAATGTACAATGCAAATTTAACAAAAACTTTACAGAAACAATGGCGTGATATATTTGAGAGAATAAAATACTGATATATTAAATATTATTTTTAATAAAATAGATTCATAAGTATTTGAAATACACAAGCAACTATTTTCTTAATTTGAGATATTCAATGAATTTAAACAAGATATCGCTATAGTTCAAATTTTGAGTATTCTAATTTATAAAACATTTAAAACTGATGTTACATTTGATCTTCTCAAAATACGTTCAAACTACTTACTTTAATTTGATCTTGTCTATAAATTAAATTCTACGTGTTTTTTTAACTTTGGAGAAGTTTAATTGATAACATTTTAAAAAATTGAAATCGGATGACAATTTATTTTATTTTTCTATTTCAATGTTTGAATAAAATTTATGAATATGACTGATAAGATGTTTTATTTAGCGTCAACTAGAACAAAAAATTAATAGTCGCCAAAAATACAATAATAACAATACCGATGCTGGTAAGAGACGAACAATACACAAGACTGATCACAACAGCGTGGAAAAAAAACAACAACAGTGATAATGCAGGAATATATCGAAAAGGGAAAGAGGTTAACAACATAAAATACAGCAGTTAACGTCATATATAGGTCATTCGACGACACTAACGAAGTCTTTGCTGAAATGAATGCTTTGATAAAGTTGACTGTTCTATCATGCTTGACTAGCTGGAATAATCTGATTTGTCCAGCAGCAACCGAAGATTTTCTTTCTTACTGTTCGACGAAAACGACTAGAAGCTATGAGAAATACGTAAAAACTACCCTAAAAATAATATGAAATAATATGAACAATCTTTGTACAATGAATGAAACGTACCGCATAGTTGACCCAAATTAGAAGACCAGAGACTATGGAGATAAAGTACTGAATAGAATTAGGATCTACCTTCGCATTCACTCCAAATGCACACCAGAGATAGGTATTGTAAATGCTCTGGGGAGCGAGAGAGAAAACAACTAATATTACTTGCAAACAAATCATTCTTGTCAATTGTTTTTGAGCTCCTTGATCAGCAAGAGTAGTTGTTCGTTGAACATTTCGATAGGCTAAATATCCAAAGATGATCATCAAAGAGCTAACTACAACAGTGAGCACAACAAAATTGAATAGTGGCACATAGATGCTAAAGATATTATTTGTATAATGGCAAACAGTAGAGGGTGGTGAGATGTTGGCAAAGTAAAAATATGGAATACCATATAAACCGCAAATGATCATCACAATGATCACAATATAATGAGCCCACTTGATATTACTCAGGTTGCGTAAACGAATATCTGATGATGTTGCGAAAAATTGATCAATAGTGGCCAAACACGAATAACACAAAGAAATAAAACTAAGTGTAATACTAAAATATTTTCTGACCTTACACCAACCCACTGCAGTAACACCTAAGTTAATTCCAAATCCGTCAAATGCAATATGTATACCTAGATTAATGAACATTATGAAAATATCTTGAATTGAACCAATAAGATAATAGAATGTAGAAGGATTCGTACGGTAGTTATGCACACTTGCGAAAACGATGATGTTGATTGAATTCCCTATTAAGCCCATGATAAGAAGAAAGGATAAAAAGTAGATCGTACATAGCTGGCTAATGTCATGAAGTGACAGGACCATTTTTTTACACTACGCTCACGGCAGAAAAATCTAAAAAGCATATTTAATATTTGATTGAATATATCTAGACTCGACGTTTACAAAAATATTTGATAGAGTCATTTGAATCACACAACAGTTACTGAGTGAAATGAAGAGATCGTATTGTCTGTTGAATGATAGGATGATTGCTCTAACTTGACACTTAAAAGTATGAGCTG